ATTAAAAATTATAAATTAATTATAAACCCTAAACCCTAAACCTATACATAGTCATTATCTTTTTTAAATTTCAATTTGTTGTGAGATCCAATTTTACTCCATTTTTCGTAAAATACTTCCAACAGCATTAATGAGGTGGGAGCATTCCCGGTTTCAAAATTGGAGTATTAAATTATGATTAGGTTGTTAAAGGTAAAAGTTTCTCCTTCAACCAGGGTAATTTGAGTAACATAAAAACTAAACAACGAGTGGAAGTTGTAGAACACGTCACTGGGGCCCGAAAACGCAGCAACTACGTGATGAGTCAATTTCGTTCTTTGTTTAATTGAAACTAAGCGTTTCACTCGTTTGTCCATTATGCCTAGAGTGTATACTTTTATTGCATGGTTCGTGTCTGGATTTTGCTTTTGTCTCTTGTGTTGTTTGATGCTGCTTATGTAACCATCCTTTGTAAATTACAAGCCAACTTAATAGATTCCTTCAATTTCTAATGTTTATACCCAGATACGTACTTTTAACGGTATTAGCTCTGGTCAATTTTCATTTAACTTAATCGCAACAACACAAGGTGGATTTGGATTCATCAGAAACTTGTGAATTTGCTTAGGTTAGCAGTTTGGCCTACATCCTTAAAAAAGAAGACAAACTTCATCACAACCTAATTAATCATATAACAAATGACTGATATTATGTAGGACCAGCACTTGAGGTTTAGTAATGTCTTGAGCACCCTATCTCCCAATATACACTCTCATTAAACTTGCATCAATTGGTTGCAAATACTCCATGCAATGATTGAATGTTATTATGTGTTATAAACTTTCACTTTTTTCCTTTTCATCATAACTGTCATCTAACTTTTTTTTATAGATAAAATAAGAAAAATTAATAAATGGATTAATTTTATAAAATTAACTTTATGATTAATATTCTTATTAGAAAGGACGCAATATGATAACTGATCGCTAAAAAAAATATGAAGGATACAGATGAAAAATGTAATTAATATTATATTAAAAAACTAAAATAATAAAGATATAGATGAAAATATGTAATTAATGTTATATTAAAGAACTAAAATAATACTCATTTTGAAACTTATTTTTTCTTAAATATGACACTTATTATGAGACACAAAGTATTATATATATATCTATTCTTGATGATGCAATGGTTAATATATACAACTAAAACTCAAGTGCTCGTTTGAGTAAGTCAAAAAAACAAATAATTGTAATACGATGAATGTAATCAAACTACTTTAATTTTTTTTCTAAAGATTATCTATTATTTGTTAAAATTTATTATAATTCATCAAAATTGTAGGTCTGGTCTCTTATCTTTATCTAACTATCTCTTCTAATTTAATGATAAAACTTTTTAAATTTATAATTTTTAACAAATTTTAATCAATAAAGATTATTATTAAAAAAGACTGTGTTAGCATTTCTCTACATATTTTCTCATATACAAAGATGGATCAAGCTATTCAAGAAATATCTTTTTGTAAAGTTACTTCTTTCAAAATTATTTAGATATATTGATTCAAGTTTATAAAATTTTAATATTAATTAATAATTTATTAAATAAATTCAATTTAACAGGTAACATTTTTTAAAATATAAGTAAATGTCAAGATTTTCACAATTCATTAAATAAAAAATTTTAATATATAGATAAGTCTACAAATTTTTAAATAATTTAAAAATTATTTTCATTAAATCAAATCAAAGTAGAAAATATTTTTATAATTATTTGTTATAAAATTAAATATTAAATAATTTTTTAAAAAAAATTATAATTTGTAATTTTTGTAATAAATTTTTAATTTAATAGTTAAATTGTTAAAATTTGATGTAGAATATAAATTATTATATAAAGAAATAACATACTTCATATATATATATATATGAGGACGTGGTATGACGATTGTCATAGCTATAAAATTACGTATATCAATTACACTATTTGCATTTCAATAGCTATAGAATTAGTGTTCACAGTTGAATCAGCATCACAGCTCAACATATTCCAAATCCAAACAACTTAAACCTTTTTGTTTTGTTGTGGGAGTCACTATCATGTAGAGTTAATTAAGGCAAACATTTTTAACTAGTAAGCAAGTCAGATAATTAATCAACAAGTTGCGCTCGGTAGCTTAAGCAACTGCGGCCTATTGGATAGAGATTAGTTTCGAAGATAGATTTTTTATATTAATAATATAGTTAAAACAACTATTTTGTCACTAAGTTGATCATATTGGTTTAAGAAATTATCACTATAAAATATATTTATAATTTGAAGAAGAAAAAGAATACATACATATTGCAATCGCAATAATTTGGTAACCGAGGACTTTTCATATAAACATGTGAATTAATAAGCTTTGTTGGTAACCTAGGACTTTTCATATAGACACGTATATTAATAAGCTTTGTTGTGATTTTATGCGTTAAAATAAATAATTTATTAATAATTATTAATTTTAAGTTAAATTAGAATTAATAAACAAACCATGAAATACAAGAACATCAAAGTTGACATGGTGTTCTTAAATTTGATTCTTGTTTGTGTACTTACAGATAAACGTTGATAAACAACCTTTAAATTAACGAAGGTCTTCATTCTCCTCCAATCTTTGATTTTTGGAGTTATAAGCAATGATTGTACTTAAAAAAAAAAAAAAAACTCTGGTGTCAAAGTCAATAAGTAATTAAAGTGTTTAGATGCCGCATATGAAGGTATTTATATATGAAAAGATGTTATTATTAAGGATTTGATCATTTAAGTACGTTGAAGGTCTTTTATTATCATGTAACAATCCAAAAAGTATAGTTTAGCCATCATCTTCAAATTAGTATAGTTTGTAGGAAAAAAGTTTTCTACAACCCCGTAGTCGATACTAAATGTACTTACAAAAAAATGTTGATGATGAATCTTCAAATTAAAGTCCTAGTCCTTAGTTTTTAGAGCTGTAAGTGGTGGTTATACCTACAAAATGACTCTAATGCCAAAGCCAACAAGTAATCAAAGTGTTTAGTATGTTGTATATGAAGTTACATACCTTATGAAAGTGAAATGCAAATATTTATAGATGAAAATATGTTATCATTAAGAATTTAGTTATTTAAGTGTATTCAAAACCTTTTATTATCAAGTCAGGTCGAGTAATCTTCAGCTTGGTCGAACTTTGACAAAGACGAACACTACTTCTCATGAAATGTTATTCTAAATCTAAGAATCGACAATATCCCAACTCTAAGACCTACCTGATATAATTTGTGTTAAAATAATATTTGATTAATGAAAGTTATATTTCGTGAATACAAATTAGTTCTTAATTATTAATTTTAAAACATTATGTGCATCATGTCTATAAAGAAAAAAAAAACTAAAAATGCAAAAAATAGAATTTGCAAGAAGTATGAAATAATTGAAACTTCCTGTTCCTCTCTATTTTGTTTTGCCAATTAAACTTGCAAATCTCCCTCTCCCCCCGCGCAAAATAAAACCCCCATCAAATCAACATGTTATTGCCGATTTTAAATTTCTTAAATAAGGTTTAAAGATGATTAATCAAACTCTTCATAATTTACACTAATAAGTAATGATAAAAAATAAGAAAAGAAAACTAATATGTAAATTTTTTTTATAAAAACTATAAATTCTCCTCTCAATCATTGATATGCATGTAGCAAAGTATTTAATATTACATGTGTTCACTTGTATTCAGATATCCCTTTAGGAAAATTGAATAATGACACTTAAAATTTTTGTTTCTTTCTAATTTTGTCCAGATATTTTTCTTTTATTGGACACTAGTGTCTTAAACCATTTATCTTAGACTAATCTGTCTCAATCAAGAGATAAGTAAAATATAATTAAGAATTATTTTTGTCAAAGATTAAATTCGAACATTGTTCAAACAATTTAACATTAAATTTAATGTATTAATCACTTATGTCCTATACCTTAATTTTTGTCAAGATACTTGATTATCTGTACTATTTAACTGTAGTTATGGAGCTAACTTACACCACATTTTGTGAATTAACTAACTAGTCCAAAATGATATGGAAATAAATTATGGAGATTTTGTTTGCTCTTCCCTTTTTTCTTCTTATCTTTCTACTATATTTTTATTTTTAAAATATTAAAAATTTATTTTTAGACATTTGTTGGTGTTTTAAAAATTATTTTCTAAAATATATTTATAACACTATATACTTCATTTATTTTGTAAAGCATTATTATGAGTACACAATTTAGCTTTTTAAAAAAAATATCAATACTCAATCCAAACAATATTATTTCTAATAAAAGATACGTGTAGCTAAAACAAAAAAATTATACTTTAAAGTAATGTTATCACATTATGTACACAAAAGTTCACTCTGATTTTGATGTCTCTTTCTTAACTGAGGAGTTAAATTGATGTCAACTTTGAATTTTGTGCTCGATTCTTTTCCTTTTGTGTGTTGAGCTACCAGTACACGTTATTACTTTTCCTTTTCTTATTATTATAACAATCTGTTCCAGAATTTTATTTTTGGGTATCGGAAGTGTGTTTTGGAAATAAGTTTCTGGAAGGTAAAATAATTGAGTTCCAGAAGTTAAATTTAAAAGATATTATTTTATATAATTTCAGATAATTCTAGTTGAAAATGAAATTCCCTTGCAAGTATTGGTACAGATATCAGTAATGGGCCATTTTCCAGACATGAAGGTTATGAAATATGTCCAACATGGGCTTGGTTCTGGATTTGAAAGGCCCAAAAGCAGTGCAGAAATACGAAATTCGAAACTTAATCCCTAAGCATACGCGTAGCAACGCAGAGAAACAAGTATGAGATGTCGAAGTGGGAGCGCGACACGACACGACAAAGTTGTCCTTTCCTGAATTTGATTATTTTAATATTATAAATTATACTTTTTCCTTTTTATTTTATTTTAAAATGTGCATCTTATTTTTTATCTCTTAAATTTAATATAAAACACATGACAGCGTACAATAGTTTTGTAGAATTTAGGTAATGTAATATTAATAGAGCGTTCAACTTCAGTGTGTATTGAGCTCGGAAAGCGAAACAACAATGGACCTCCGTGAGTCGATCAGCAACCAAACCGACGTTGCTCTGAGCATCACAAAGCCCTTATTGTCGAAAGAAGGTCGTGAGAAGAACGTGGTGTTTTCGCCGCTGTCGTTGCACGTTGTTCTTAGCATCATCGCCGCTGGTTCCAAGGGCCACACACTCGATCAGCTTCTCTCCTTCCTCCGATCCAAATCCAACGATCATCTCAACTCCTTCGCCTCTCAGCTCGTCGCCGTCGTCCTCTCCGACGCCGCTCCCGCCGGCGGGCCCCGTCTCTCCTTCGCCAACGGCGTGTGGGTTGAGCAATCCCTCTCTCCTCTCCCTTCCTTCAAACAACTTGTCACTACCGATTACAAGGCCACTTTGGCTTCGGTTGATTTCCAGACCAAGGTAACTTCTTTTTCGCTACTTTTATTCATCCCCTTGTTGTGCTAGCATTCCATATATTTTACTTTAGACCCAAACCCTTAATGTAGTTGTCCATTAATTAGTAAAAGTGTTTTTTGGAACTCACTTCAAAACTCTTTGTTGCGGTGGGAACTACTAGAGTTTCTAATTTCTATTATCAACTCATTTAGATTTCGATCCTAACCTCCTGCTGATTTATAAAACGGAGCCTTAATTATATTTTTATTCCGTCAAATTTACCCTAAATTTGTTTCTTCTCTCAAATTTAAAATCACTTTTTTTTTAGTTCTATAATTTCAAATAATATTGTTTTAGTAACTAATGCCACCAATAACATGACTTATGAAGACACTTTGATACAATTATGCAAGCTTAATTTGATGTTTTCACTTACAAAATGACATTAGTATTGTATTTGATGTATGACTGTATTTGTATTTACAAATGACATTGCATAGACTAAAATAAGTTTTCTTTAAATCACAGTAAAAAAATCAATTTTAAATTCGAGAACCTAAGTTTCCTTTAAATAACATGGAAAAATCAATTTTAAATTTGAGAGAAAAACAAATTTACCTGTATTTGAAGGCCAAACGTATTTAAGCCTGAAATAAAAATTAAATTTAATGCAAGATAATTGCGGCGAGGGACTCACATTCCTTAACCAAGTGACTAGAGATCGAATATGATTCTTGCAAAGTAAAAAACTCAAGCTAGGAGAGAAGATGCTCACTTATTTAGTGTCCCTCAAACCCTTGAGGGAAATTCTTCTGTGTTTGATGGAGAATACTCCTCGATAATGAATAAAAATACAAGATAATCATGTGTGACAAAAAGATTTTTCTTCCATCTTTCGGAAAAAGCTATATATTTAGATGTATGAAATGTTTCTTATTCTGAATTTGATCATACAATACAACCTTGCTCCTGCCCACATAATATGGAAAACATCCTAACGACCCCGCACCACACAAACTTCATCTTTTAGTCATTTGATTCATTGACAATTGTGGTGGGGGTTGGACCAACACTCCTTACAACAGAGGTGTCAGGGTGTCCGACACCTTCGACACCAACACACTGTCAACACTCCCCACGTGTCAGTCACATCACACATGTTTATGGTGTCTTTTTTATTTATTTATTTAACTTTGACACGGTTCGGACACACCTTACATGACTGGACATAGTTTGTTATTTTATTCTTTTTGAGTGTGTGATCAAGCCAAGGAGTGTAAACAATTAAACAAGTCCTGCAATTGCTTGCGGGCTCTGGCACTTGGAAAAGAAAGCCAGCTTCAAATTTTTTAGTACTAGAGAGAAAAGCAATTCACATGATCCTTTAGCATACCATCAAGTTGATTTTAGAGCAGCATGAATGTTGACTTCTATAGAAATTGGTTCGCTGCCTTGCTGACTAGATGGTCTGTTTTGTGTAACTCTCATTGATGCCTGGTATAGTCATATTTGATCTATAGTCTCTCAGCGGCAAATCATGATATGTGCTGTTTCTAATTAATTTGGAAACATAAATATATGAAAATAGATTAGCAAAAAGTTAAATGTTTCTATTGAAATGCTTAATTAAACAAAATTAACCGATCAATTTATGATTGATTTTTTACTTTGATGGTGTATTTTAAGGCTGTTGAAGTGGCCAATGAAGTAAATTCATGGGCTGAAAAAGAGACAAATGGCCTTGTTAAAGAGCTTCTTCCTCCTGGATCAGTCGACAATTCAACCAGGCTCATCTTTGCAAATGCACTGTACTTCAAAGGAGCGTGGAATGAGAAGTTTGATCCTTCAACTACGGAAGACAATGATTTTCACCTTCTTGACGATAGTACAGTCAAGGTTCCCTTCATGACGAGCAACAAGAAGCAGTTTATTAGGGCTTTTGATGGTTTCAAAGTCCTTGGTCTTCCCTACAAGCAAGGCGAAGATAAGCGTCAGTTCACCATGTACATTTTCCTCCCAGATGCAAAAGATGGGCTATCGGCTTTGGCCGAGAAATTTGCTTCTGAATCTGGGTTCTTGGAGCGCAAGCTTCCTAATCAAAAAGTGGAAGTAGACGAATTCAGGATCCCAAGATTCAAAATTTCTTTTGGGTTTGAGGCCTCTAATGTGCTGAAGGAGCTGGGAGTGGTTTTGCCTTTCACTGTTGGAGGTTTGACCGAAATGGTGGATTCTTCTGTGGGTCAAAACCTATGTGTTTCTGATATATTTCATAAGTCCTTTATTGAAGTAAATGAAGAAGGCACTGAAGCTGCAGCGGCCACAGCTGCAACTATACTATTGAGGAGTGTGCAATTTCCAACTAAAATAGACTTCGTAGCAGACCACCCTTTCTTGTTCCTGATCAGAGAAGATTTAACTGGAACGGTGCTCTTCATCGGGCAGGTGCTGAATCCTCATGCTGAATGATATTAGTGGCTATACAGTGAACAACATTGGTAGAAAAAGTTGCGCCCTTATTTTCTTGTCTTGATTTACTTGTGACGGATGATCCTAGATTTGTGACGGTTTGAGTTAGGAAAAAAAAAGGTACATATGGATCACTGTTTTATATTTGTTATTGCGAGTAGTTATTAGTTACCTATATGTGTAAGGGCCTGTGTAACTAAGTGAATAGCCAAATGTTCCTGCTTTGTTGGGACAGTAAAATTGTAATGAAGTTATTGGTGTGATTGGGATAATAAAGAGTTTATTCAAAATAGTGAGTTGTTAAAACCACCATAGTTGGCATAGTGGTGAGCAGCTGAACTGTTCAAATCGTGTTCAAATTCTGTTATCGTGTTAAAAAAAAGTGTATTTATTTTTTCTCATAACACTAACTTATTTCAATCTCAATTTATTTTCCATTTGAAATGAAAAGAATGACAACTGTACCTGTTAGAAGGGCACACTTTCTGAGGGTCGAACGAGAACTCCTAACGAATATTCCGGTGAGAGGGAGAGTACTTGTAAAAGGCACTCCGACACTCAAGTCAGGACAAACATAGATATCAATAGTAATTAATGAATAGTGACGTTATCTCATGATATGAGCTATTTATACTGACATTAATGGACCCTGACCCTCATGGGCCCTGCAATAAGATTACCATATTAGATAATACGCCTCTAATCGGCTTATTGGCGTGATTAGCTCTTAACTCTTAATTAAGAATAATTCTTAACTTTTGATTAGGCGGGATCTGAGTTTATGGAGCATTGTCGTCGGCTATCTGGTTCAACCATTCGGGTGCTAATTGAATATCGGCTACCTGGTGGCCGAATGGTCTCACTAGTACAACAACTAAATATGATTTATCAAAGAAAGAAACAGTAGTTATTACTTCAATATAATATTAACGTTAAGCGGATTTCATTTATCTTACAGTAGTTATTACTTCAATATAATATTAACGTTAAGCGGATTTCATTTATCTTTAAATAGTTCACATTGACAAATTTGAAATGAGTTCCACTTGGTACTCGGTAACAAATTTTGAAGGTAAAAATAGAGTTTCTCATATCATTGACCGATTATCGTCACCGAACATCAATTAAGACACAATAACAATGTAAATTAAAACAAATAGAATCAGAGAAAAAATCATCTCTTTTTTTTTTAAGCTGCTGTTGAGATCTCATTTATACAGTTTACCACAGTACAACTCCATGAGAGAACTCTGTTTTAGGCCCATGTCTGTTTCTCGGGATCTTAACACCTCAATTTTTTGTCACTTAACACTGCCCCAGATGGTCATAGTCATGATCGAGTTAGAACAGATGGTGGATTGGTACGTGAGTTACAAAGTTTAAAATGTGTATAAAATGTTTGACACTTTGACCCAATGCCAATAGTATATTAAGATGTGGTTCTTCCAAAGGAAATAAAAAAAAAAACTATGCTGACTACAGTAGTTAGGTTGATCAGTAAGTAAAGACTCGAGTTTATAGTTTTAAAAACTAGAGCAGACTATAATTTGACCAGTTATCAGTTTGAACAAAATACCAGTTAAGAATAGGTCCAACTGACTATCAAAACCGAATAAGAGCAAGTGCTAAAAGATTTAAATATAATAGAATTTACATTTAAGAAAGAAATAATTAAGGAATATTATATAATTGGTGGTTTTTTAATTTGTTAATTGAATTGTACACTTTACTATAAGTTAATGTTCCTATTCCAATCATTTTTAAACATTATATTATAATAACATTCATATTTATTAATTTATGAAATTTAAACATTATATCACATGATTGATCAATTACAGCTTGCAATCACATATTATTTATTGATTATTAACTTTGAAATATTATGAAGACCATGTTCATAGACAAAATAAAAACATGTCATTTTTTTTTTGTACAACATTCAAATTGTCAATTACATTATTAATTTATTAAAATGTAATGTAATGTAATTTATTAATTTATTAGAATAAATTTACTTAGACTTACTCTATTCATTAACTTATGTTCTACAAATAAATTATTTTTTTAATATATATATATATATATATATATATATAAACAAACTAAAATATTTTCTTCTTAAAACTTAATGTAACAAATATCAATCATCTATTTTAGATGTCAAAAATAAATTGTTAATTTATTATAAAAATTGGTATACATATTAATCTTTAAAAAAGATGTTGTTAATAAGTCCTTGGGAATAAAGTGCAATATTAAAAATATGGACTTTACTTTTTGACAGTATTTTTGAAATTAGATCGGTCATTAAATTTATTTAAGCATTGATTCAAGATTCAATGACTTAATTGTAGTTGAATTGTGACCAAACTCATATTAATAAAACAACAACAGTAATAATAATAAATATTAAATAAATATAATATCATAATTTTATAACACTAATAATTAAAATTAAATAGTATTTATAGGTTCTAAAGATTAATGTATATGTAAAATTCTAATTTAAATATTATACAACATTTTAATTTAAATTTTAATAAAATATAACAATATTCATTAGTAATTACAAGTTTACATCTAGAATAAAAATGTATCAAATTAATATAATATAAATTATGAAAAATAAAAGATATTAAAATTATAAATTAATATAAATGATTAAATTATATTTATAAAATAATTATTAAAAAAATTAATTTATAATTTATATTAAATATGTATTTTTATTAAAAATATTTTAACTTAAATTTTAAAATAAAAAATTAATTACCGATTCAAACCTATTTAACCAATTTCTTATTAGTTTTGGTCAATTCTATTAGTTCTTCATCGATTCATTACAAAACGGTTTCTAAACCAATTAAACCAGTTAAAGATCTATTTTTGGTCAAATTGGTCTAACCAGTCAATTCAATACAATTTTGAAAACATGTTTTTTATGTGGCAAGTGAGACACAGGAGTCAACTTGGTGTTCCTAAATTTGATTTTCATTTGTGTTAAAATAATGTTTGACCAATGAAAATTATGTTTTACAAGTACAACTTAATTATTAGTTGTCGACTTTGGAGCATTGTATGGACTATGTACATGGACAAAAAAAACACTATCATCTAAGAAACAAACATGCATTTTACACCATGTTTGATATCATAGAAATAAGTAATAAATTAAAAAAGGAGAGTAAAAATAAGTTTGAGTGTTTAGCATGCAAAAATGAGGAAAGTGAAGTAAAAAAGTTTGAATCTCAACTTTTTATTTTCATGTTTAGATAAGTGAAAATTAGAGAGAGAAAAAACAAAATTTGTAATTTGTGACGGTTTGAAATTTTAACAACCCACCATGATCTGCACATTAAATGACACAGCTACTAGCAACAAAAAAATAACTAATTTAGGATTATAGATCTACAAATACGAAAAATATGTACTATACTACATATATAATTTATCAATCAAGCAACTTAAATATAAATTATACAACTTAAATTATTGATCAAGTAACTTCTACAATATACATAACCACTCTAAAAAGGTAATTCTCAAAATACATCTAGGTCCAACACCACTTAATGGCCTCCACTGCATGACTCCAACCTATCCTTATCCTATTCTTATACGACGTATAATCATCGTAGTTCAAGCTAGAGTTTGAAGAATCAATATATATATATATATA